TCCTTTTTAATTCTTTTAGGTTTAAAGGAAAGCAGACCATTATGGAAAACTTTCTGGTTTGTATTTTAGTACATGTTAAGTTTTCGATCTTTCACTCAAAAATTGTGTTTGCGTATTGTTTCCTTCACATGGATGTTTGAGCTCCGCTGGGCAGAATGATGGAGGTGAATAGTTTGACACTAGGGTACCATTTTTCACATTCATTGGCTCATCTGCTGGGAAGGTGGAAAGTTTCTCTGGTTCACATTTGAAATCGAAGTTTAAGATGTGACAGAACATGATTTGTTACATCACAACCAGTTTGGAAGCCATCATGGTATCCAATATGCAATTACTGGAAGTGTGATGTTTTAACACTTGAAACTCCAGTGCAAAACTTTAAAAAAAAATGGGGGACTTTCAGTAAGAAGCGACATCTTGTGTCCTGGAAGTTACATTTTGAAATGACAAGTTTATATTATATATATATTAAAAAAACTCATATATATGTATGTATATAATATACATACAAATAGTATACTATATATATATGGTTCTGTATTTAATGAGGGGAGAAGGAGTTAGATGTAATTTTAATTTAAAACTTTTTGTAAAAAAAAACATATTCAAACACTAATATATCGGGGGGAATGTGTCGCACACAGACCTGTAACCCATGGAAAACCAGCTCAAGTGTATACAGGTGTGTTACCAGCCAGTGTTGGTGTGTGTTACAGTGTGGTGTACCTGCTGTGTTGGTGTGTTTACAGTGTGTGTTACAGGTGTTGTTGCAGTGTGTACAGTTGGACCTAGCTGTGTTGGTGTGTTGTTTACAGTTGGTGTTACAGTGTGTGTTACCAGTTGTGTGTACTGCTGTGTTGGGTGTTGTTACAGGTGGTGTTACAGTGTGTGTACCTGGCTGTGTTGGTGTGTGTTACAGTGTGGTGTTACAGTGTGTGGTACATGCTGTGTTGAGTGTGTGTTCAGTGTGTTTGTTACAGTGTGTGTTACAGTGTGTGTACCTGCTGTGTTGGTGTGTGTACAGTGTGTGTTCAGGTGTTACCTGCTGTTGGTTGTGTTACAGTGTGTGTTTGTGTGTACCTGCTGTGTTGGTGTAGTCCAGCAGTCCCCTCAGCTCTCTGTGCCGCAGTAGAAACTGGACCATCTCAGCTCCTCCTTCCAACTGGGACGCCAGGTGCAGGGCTGTGTTGCCATGGCGATCTGTCAGAGTTGGGTCAGCACCGGCCAATAGCAGCGCTTCCACCGCCTCCCTCTGCTGGGTGATCACGGCCAAGTGCAAAGGAGTCTGGGATACATGGAGGAGGTTAAACACTTACTGTGAAGCTGCCTCTTAAATATTTCGCTAATCGTCTTTGCTCATTGTGATGACCCCTCCCCTTCCAACTGTATGTTCCAGTTTAATGAACAACAACAAATGTTAACGCCTCAGAGGTCACTGCCTCAGAACTTTACTCACATCTTCAGACAAAATCTCACTTTCCACCAATTTGCTTTTAAGAAACGTTTTTATATTCTCTTTCAATTTTTTATCAGACACCTCAAAATCGTCAATAACTGGTCCTTTGTACATTTATCCAGTAGCTCCACTGAAGGAGTCTCATATTACAAACCAGCTACCTCCAAACAGAACGCAAACAGTGTAGGTATACACTTTTACACTCTAAATCAGTGGGGTGGGAAAGCAACTGGTTAACCAGCGACCCTCCCAGAATCCACTGAGGTGTTCCCGAGCCATGCTCTACCCACGTTCACCACCACACTATAAAAACAAAACACAACAGAACCTGCTGTCTAAAACCTAACGGAGGAAAATATTTAGGCCATTTACTAAAAACCCAAACTGCAACAAAAGTGAGCTACCAGATACTAACCAAGCTCCTATCTTCCAAACCAAAACTCAATAATCTGTGTATCTCCCAGAACTATTTACCCAAGTGAAGTCATTTCACAATCACAAATGGCACAAAACAAACATTTCCAAATGTTAAACACCAGGAAAGTCTCTCCTGCTCATCTTTACTCGTTAACTAAAACCTTCCGTCTTTCTAAATCAGCCAAAACCAGAACACAGTGAAGATGTGTCAGTGTCATTCAGTACCTGGTAGAGGTGGTTCCTCATGTTGAGAACTTCCTGTCCAGGCAGAGCAGAGACGACCTGAGTCAGACTCTTGAGCGCCTCCTGCTGGCTGTGGAGGATGGCCAGGTGGAGCCCACTGAGAGGAGAGGGCAGGAAATAGAAAATACATTAATTTTAGTTCTTCCTGAAGTTACCGGATCACACAGACGCATTCAAAGTTTACTGACGTGTCTCCGTCCTCGTCCTGTGCGTTCATCAGGGGGCGCTGTGGAGCCAGCAGGTAGGCTGAGTCTCCTGTGACTGAGTACTCAAAGAGAGCCTCCAGCTGTCTGCGGGTCACCTGAGCCAACCGCTCATCTGCCACACACACACACACACACACACACACACACTATATTAACGTCTCAAAAACACACCTATGAACACACACTGGACCTTTATTTGCTTTATGACGGCAGTAGTTGATGTGTACCTGTCTCCACACTGACCCCTCGCTCCTCAGTCCTCTCCCCCACCTCCAGACCTCCCTGCTGGGCTGAAGCTCTCAGCACGACCCCTGACCCCGAGTCATCGTCGGGATCGCTATCGTCACTGCTGTCAGCTGCTGAGTCGCTCTGAGAGGCTTCAACACAACAATAACACAATGAGTGATAACAGCGTCTCTAACATCTCTTTTCCTGACCTTTTCTATTTGTTTTGTCCCAACAGACTGAATGTTGTAATTTCTCACCATGTTTGATGCCTCCTCCTCCCAGACCAGCTGAGTATCCTGTGGAGAAACCACCTCCTCCCCCTCCTCCCCCTCCTCCACAGCTGTTGCTACTGCCACCCAGCGAGCGCCACTTTCTCCGGGCAGCAGACAGACGATCCTGAGGCTGGGGGAGTCAGTAGAGACACAGCCCAGCCCGTCTCAGCACAGCTCAGCACAGCCCAGCTCAGCCACTTCAAGAGGCAGGGGAGGGGAGACACTAGCGCACACAGCCAACGCTGCAACACACACACACACACAAGCAC